CTATGTTACAATCTGCTGGACAAGCCATATCAATTAGTAGGCAAGTTTTTTCTTTCTGGTTTTTGACAATAATGTCCGGCCTATTTGCTTCAATTTTTCTGTCTGTGTGGATGGTATAATCCCATAGAATGGTGACATCTTCTATTTCTGTAACCGGCGCTGGCCGATGTTCATACCAGTGTTTGCTTTTCACACATTTTCCAAAGTGTTTGCACATTGTCCAGTGTAAGTATTGCCCCACCTATCGTGACGATTTTTATATTCATTTGGGGCAAGTATAGAACATCCTGAGATTAGATGGTCTATTGTTTCTTGGTATTTGTCACAGAACCTGCATTTTGGATCCACATTATTATGTATGATATTTGCCTGAAAATTCCTAGTGAAAAGACTCTTGCGCTGCAAGAATAAAGCCTTCAGTTTCAGACTTTTTCCAGATGCTCGTAACCATCGATGAGTATTAACTTTATCAACATTGGGTTTATTTGCACGTTCTGGATATTGGCCATGCAGAGGTTTGTCTTGCCAGCGTTGTTTCATCTGTTCAAGGGCTTTATCCTTGGCTTTCTTTTTTCATATCTTTTGCTGCAATAGTTGGTTCTTGGCTTCTGTTTTGATTTACTACAGAATCTACTAAATGTAAATGTTGTTTGTATTTACTGCCTTCTTTTTATTATTGAATATTTTTTTTTTCTGTTTTCATGTTGTTTCACTAATTTTATCATCCAGTCATTTGTTGTTTCCATGTAAGTTAGTAAGCCAATAGTTGTTGTCTTGTATGACAATTCTAGCTGAATAAGACCTTTCCACCTTCTTTTTACATGTATAGACGGTCTACATCAGCCTTTGATGATGCATCTTATACTTAGAAAGAAGCTTTCAGAATCCATTTGTCTGATGTCATTTAGAGTCCAGTTCAAGATGTTGAAACTATATTGGACCACTGGGATGGCAAGGTTATTAATGGCCATAATTCTGTTCTGAGAATTCAATTCAGTTTTTAATACCAGTCGTACCCTTCTATAGTACTCTTTACGCACTATTTCTTTCATTTTCTTATGGTGAATTCCTTCACTCTCATTTACACCTAGGTACTTATAAGCTTCTCCTTGTTCTAAATCTTTTATTGTTACAGCAGGGTCTAAACTAATAGAGGAAGTTTGTTGTAGCGATCCTCGTAAAACTGTAGCTTTAGCACATTTATCCAAATTGAATTTCATTCCAATGTCTTCACTGAAGCATTTTACAGTTTGCAGAAGACCTTCCAGCTCATTGTCATTCCTAGCATACAATTTTAAGTCATCCATGTAAAATAGATGGTTTATTTTCTTTTTTGAGCTATTTTAAACCGCATTCTGTCTTGTTAAGTTGGCTGGTTAATGCTATAAGTGATATGCAAAATAATAAAGGAGACAAAGAGTCACCTTTTGAAATATTCCTCTATTGATGTTTATTTCGCCAGACTTATAGGTTCCATTTTTATGATTGAGGTAAAGTGTAGTTTTCCATATCGACATACATTGTTTGATGAAATTGATGATAACGGGTGATACCTTTGTACATACTTAAAGACTTTAAGATCCAGGAATGTACACTATCGAATGCTTTTTACGATAATCTATCCAGGCAATACTAAGATTTTTTTTCCACGGAAGCAGTTTTCCAGGATCATCCTATTAATAAGTAATTGGTCTTTACATCCGTAGCAGCCTCGTTTGCACCCTTTTTTTGTTCAAGTGGTAGTATGTCATTTCTTTCCAAGAAGAAATATGTCTGTTTTGTTAAAATAGATGTTAACAGTTTGTATGTTGTTGGAAGACATGTAATTGGTCTATAGTTTTTCGGAATATTTGTGTCACTATTTTTTGGTAGAAGAAAGGTAACTCCTTTGGTCATCCATGCAGGAATTTTAGTTGGATCGGTAACCATTTCTTTTTTGAAGTTCTTTGGCGAGTTTTTTTGTGTGCTGTATTTAAATAATATAGCCAGAAGTTAGGAATTTTATCTATTCCTGGAGATTTCCAGTTGTGTGCTTTTTTCAGTGCACATTTAACATCTTTTTTCTGTGATTCCTGCCCATGTCTGTTCTGGTTTATTTTTCATTCGTTCTAACTCTTGCGCAATCCAATCTGCCTCTTCGTTGTGTTCTTTAGGGCAAGCCATATTTTTCCCCAGAACTGTATAACTTCTTCCATTTTTAGGGGGTGTCACTTCAATTCTTTGTTTACCTATTTCCCTGTAAAATTTCTTTGCATCGGTTTGAAATCTTTGTTCTGTCTATAGAATCTTGATCTTTTCTCGTAGCGTCTTATTCTTTGAGCCTTCAGTTGTATTGTTTGCTTTATTTTTTCTTTTTAGTTGATAGGACTTCATTTTCATTCCTGATATTGTATTTTCTTTTCGACTCTTCTGCCTTTTCTAGTTCTTACATTTACTCCTCTTGCTAGTTCATCGAGTACTGATAATTCACTTCTAAAATTTCTTTTTCTATTTTTCTTTTTCCAAGGTGGATCTTCATGTCTGTGAGACTGCCTTTTTTTTTACTTTGATGTTCAGTTTATTTGTTGCTGCTATTGCTGATGCATATATTGCTTCATTGAGATTTATATGAATCCAGAATCAATTTGAGTGCTGCATTATAGAGCTTAATAGTTTTGAGGTTATGCTTTGTTGGTTGTAATTTTGGGAGTTGTTCTCGTTCCTCCATTGCAATATTCTGTATCTGACTTATATGGCTCATGATTTCATCCTTGGCTTCTTGTATATTAATCTTGTTTTCATAATTCTGTTCGATGAATTTTGAACTCGTTTTTATTACCGTCTTGTGACTGACTAAGATCATACCTTTCCAACATTTCTAAATTTTCAGCATTATCTTCACAGTGATTTGTGTGTTTTCGTTTTTTCATTATGACCTGAGGCTTGTGTGATGTTACTACTTTTTTTTTTTCCCTGATTCCGGTTCCTTTTCATGTTTTGTTGGTTCATCTATTCTTGTTGCAATTCTTTTATTTCATTAATTTCAGCCTCTGTCAATCGGTTATTTCGCATGATGTCCCTTCTTACATTGGCTAGTTTATTTTTGTCTATGGTTTGCCTGAACCTTCTCTCGCCAAATGTCATATGTTTGGCGAGTGATGTTTTTCTGAGGTTTGAGTAACGCTTCATGGAATGCAGTCATAACAACTTTGTACTCCTCACGAGACCATTTTATTTTTTCTTTCCTTAAATTTACGGTTATGGATCTAGCTGGAGAATTTACAGGACCATCATTAGGATTATCCTGGTTGTGGGGACCTGAAGATTCATTCTTTGTGTAGGAGTTTGTTCCTATGGCAGATTTTTCGACCTCAGGTAGGTTCCCTCCTGAAGGACGGGCTCCCTGTTTATCCACTGGAAGAGCCATACTGGACGTTTTGTTTTATTATTATTATTATTATTATTATTATTATTATTATTATTATTATTATTATTATTATTATTCGTAGGGTTATTTTTATTTTTATTTTTAAACATTACGCCCCAAGCAAGGCGTGAAGCCGCTAGGATGCAGGGGGTTGCGGAAGATTTGGAGCGAGAGCAGATAGGAGTGAGAGAAGAAAGGATGAGGAGAAGGATAGTGGGTAGATCAAGGCAACTGGAGATGTCGGTTGACATTACATTTGAACATTTGGAGATTATAGCTCTCAGTTTTTGGGAGGGGTGTTCCACTGGCGAGAGGTGCGAGGTATGAAGCTATTGGAGTAGAAGACAGCTACATTTGAAAGTTTCTACAGTGTAAGGGTGGGAGCGGGATGCCAGCCTCGTAGGGCGCTTGAATTCATGGAGTCTGGGAACCAGTGAAAGCAGCTCATCGGAGCAATTACCATGGAAGTATTTGTAGAAAAGACAGAGAGAGGCGACGGCGCGTCTGTGAGAGAGTGACTGCAGACGAGACGCCAGATCAGGGCCAATTATATTACATATCCGTCGCTGGATCTTCAGTGGATAGCATTATTTGGAATAGACGCCTCATTTTTATTGTAAACAGTTTGCATTACATGTATCGGCCTGCGCACTTGAAAAATATTAGTAAAGAATATGTGCTCCCTGGCAGGGTTCGAACCTGTGTTCCCATTTATAGGAGAAAAATACTGGCGTGCTTTAGACTACAGAGAATGAACAGCTCTGTGAAATTCTAACGGGTATCGACGCAAGTAATAAAAATGTACTAATTATGTGCCCAAGATATTTCAATTGTCGCTTTCTGATGTTACGTATCATTTTCTTTTGGTTTTCATTTTCTCTAGAACTTCGTCTTTGCTCACATGTTTGGCTGATGGGTTACTCAGCATCCTTCTGTAGAACATATATTTCTGTTGCTTCAGATGTCTTCTTTATCTTTGACGATGAAGGAAACGTAGAAATTTTACCCGCCCTTAAATCCTCTTTTTTTTCCATTTTCACATTCTCGGAACTTTTGCGCAGATCAAATTCATCCTATATTCGAGAGAAGCACAGGATGATAATGCACCAATTCACACAGATAAAATTGTGTCTGAGCGGCACGAAGAACATTCTAGTGAAGTAGACCCGCTTATCTGGCCCCCACAGTCCCCAGATCTGATTGTTATTGAAATTCTACGGTGCATTTTGAGAAAAACAAGTAAGGATTTGATATCCTCCACCATCACCCCTGAAAGAACGCAGAAGAATGGACAAATATTCCTCTGGAAACCATTCAAACTTTGTATGAGTCCATACCTCGGAGAATTCAAGCTGTAATCCTACGCCATATTAAAATAAATTTGTTTCAAATTTCCAGGTGTTTCTTTTATTTTGTCCAATCCCTGTATATATATTTATATTCTGGCCATTTCACATTTAGCCACCTTTTTTCTTCCCACGCAGATACGATCCCATTTATTTTAAATATATTATAACTGGCTTTCTGTAGCATCTCTCGTATTTTTACCCAGAGGAAAATAGTGAAACGAGAGAAAGAAAGCGTCTTTATAAGCATGTCCTTCCTTCTTTCCACCCCAGGTAAGCGTCTTCATTCAACCAAAATTAACACCTATGATAAAAAAAATTCCTCTCCAATTTTTTTCCCCACCGATGCCATTAAAAACTTATTTTATAAATCAACTTGAGGCGACAAATAAAAGTGACATCTTCGCCTCTGTTTCTGCCACCATCATCAATACCAGCAGAATTCTATGTAATACATACTCCCATCACCATTAAGTACTTACCTTTCAGTAATTCCCCACATCACTATAATCACTGAATTTTAATCATCCACATTATGGTCAAAGTTCAGTGTTGCCGTCACTTATACAGCCACAGCCACAAGTCGTCACTCCCAACTCCATAAGTGGGAAATAAACAGATATTCTAAATCTCTACATTGATAAGGGAACGGATCGAATTGCAAGAAGCGTCACCATGATAAGCTTAAGTAGAACTAAAATTTATCGATATTAACAGCCCAGGTATAATTATCGAAATTCAGCATCAATCCTTCTCATCTGCTTTTTCACGCACTTTTATTGTGCTTTCTCCTCACAAAAATTTTCAATTTTTTTTCACACTCAGTAACCCTTGCGTCTTAGTAGCATTATCGCTTTGATGGGGTAAAATGAAAAAATACAAACAAACAAAGAAAAAAAAAACACTCGTTACAGCAAACATCATTATTAATAAATGCTTTTTCCTCTTCTTCTTCTTCTTCTTCTTCTTATTATTATTATTAGTAGTAGTAGTAGTATTTTATTATTATTATTATTATTATTATTATTATTATTATTATTATTATTTCCTTTGATTTGTGTTCTAAACTCATTTCGTTCCGGGTCATAACAGAGACCTCAGGTCAGAAATAGCATCATATTTTCATTGAATATCTAAAAGAAATAATAGTAACAATAAATAACAAAAGAGAACAAATATTTTACATTGATAAAGCACTTCATAAGGTTTGAGCTATAGTTATTATTATTATTATTATTATTATTATTATTATTATTATTATTATTATTATTATTCTCTTTGATTTCTAATGTGGACTCATTTCTTTCCGGGCTCCGCCGAGAGACATAAGGTCAGAAATTGCATCATTTCCACTGAGCTTAAAAAAAACAAAAACATATTTTACATATATAAAGCCCTTCGTAGGGTGTGGGCTGTACTCATGTAAACAATGTTTGTATTTCTTTAAGGCATGAACTACCAGGAATCCCTTTAATGTGTCTGTTGTAATATTTTCCAACAGGGTTTGTTGATGTTCTCACGTGTCACATTTTTGAGATTTCGATTTCAATGTCCTTGTATTTTGATAGATTTTTGAAGATTTTCAAAGATACATTTCAGTCTGCAAGGAATGCCATATCAATAAGGAGGTATTTTTTGATTTGATTACCTTTGATTGTTCTGTCAGTGTGTATTGTCTACTCCCATAAAATTGTTACAGGTCCTATCTCCGTAGCCGGGTCTGGGTGCTTTTCATACCAATTTATTTCAGTTTCCTTCCCTTAGAAGTTGCAGATTTTCCAGTGCAGATACTGGCCCACTGTGTTATGCCGGGTTTTATATTCAGTTGGTGCGATTACCGTGCAACCTGATACAAGATGATCAATTGTTTCTGGATATTTATCACAGAACCTGCATTTTGTTCTAAACCAATTTTTTAGTATGTGTGCTTAATAATTGTATTTAACAAGCATTTGTCTTGTATAGCAAAGATAAAACCTTCGGTTTCAGCTTTTAACCCTGTACTACGTAGCCACTAATAGATACGGGGTTTGTCTGCTAGTTTGGTACGAGCAGAGTATTGACCGTGAAGCGGTTTATCATGTCATGGTTTCTGTATCTGGTCACTTAAATTTGCTTTTTCTTTCTTTTTTAAGTATTTTGATGCTTCGAACGGTGTACTGTGCTTTACTTGAGGTGTTTGCGTTTCTACACCCATTTGATACACCATTTTGAACTTGTAGGTTTACTTTATTACTACTTTCATGTTCTTTGACGTATATCATCATCCAGTTTTCAGTAGTTTCCAGGTATCTTTGAAGGCCTTTTGTCGTAGTTTTGTAGGACAGTTCTAGTTGAACCAATCCTCTGCCTCCTTCGGATCTCGGCACCTACAGACGATCAGCATCAGCTTTGGGATGATGCGTTCGATAGCAAGTGAGTAGATTTCTGGTTATGGCGTCCATTTGCTTAATGTCAGCTATGGTCCAGTTGAAATTGTATTGCAACACAGGGACAACCAATGCGTTTACGGCTGATGTTCTGTGTTTTTTTGGGGTTTTTTTTGTCTTTTTTAATTCAGCTCGGTAATCAGTACCAGACGCAAGCCCCTGTAGTACTCCTTTCTTATATTGTTCTTCATTTGGGCATGTTGTATACTATCCCCATCATTAATTTCTAGGTATTTATTGACTACAACTTGTTTCAGTTCACGAATCTTTGTGACAAAATCTAAATCTATTGAGTGTATTTCTGTAATATTCTCTTTCTCGAATCCTACTTTCTATTTTAGTTTGTAACCATGGCTTCTGTTATTTAGTTCATACGCAAGGGGGCGTGTGAGAACAGACAAAACGCAATGGGTGACAGGGAGTCTCCTTCAAAGATTCCACGTCGGATAATCAGGCGGTTGGAGATGGCAGTGCCTATGGTGTGATTTAGGTATGTTGTGGTGTTCCACATTCCATTGCTGTGCTTAAGGAAATTTACTACCATGGATGAGGTTTTGCACATTTTCAAAGTCTTAAGGATTCAAGAGTGTGGCACATTATCAAAGGCTTTATCATCCACACTGCGCTAAGATTTTCACATCGTCTCATGCAATTTTTCCAGGATTATTTTGTTTATCAGTAATTAATCTTTGCAACCATATCAACCTCTTCTGTATCCTTTCTGTTCCAGTGTAAGAATGTTGTTTGCTTTGAGGAAAGGGTAAGTAAGGTTCGTATTGACAAAGGTGATCAATTTATACGTGGTGGACAGACATTTTAATAGCCTGTAATTTTTTGAAAAATCCATTTCACACGTTTTTCGCATGAAATATCTAATACCTTCACTGATCCGGCATTTCATTGGGATTATTTATATGCATTGATAGAGTTTGTGAAACAGTTTTATGGATTTCTGAAAGATGATAGAGCCAGAAATTGGGCAGCTTGTCATTTCCTGGTGATTTTCATTTTTTTGATTTCGTTAGATCTTGCTTAATATTATTTGTGGTTATATTTCCCTCTCTTGTAGAGGTTTATCAACATTCGTTCTTCTCCAAGTTGCATCCATTCTGCATATGAGTTATATTCCTTTGGGCTTCACCTTGTCAATATATTGTGGCTTTTTGACATGTATATTTGCTTTTCCAATTCACCTGTAAAATTTTTTAAGGTACGTTTGGAATATTTTATTTTGGCGATAGAACCTACAATGTTTTTCGTATCGTCTTGTCCTCTGTGCCTTTAACTGCAGTTTCTGTTTCAACATTTCCTTCATTGGTGGAATTTCATTTAGTGAATTAATTCTATATTTTCGTTGAGGTGTTTACGTTTCTAGTGAGGTCATCTAATATAGAAATCTTACATGCGATTTCCTTTATTTCTCGCATCAGTTTGACTTTCCAAGATGGCTCTCTTTGTCTGCTGTTAATTTTTTTTTTTCATTGTCTTGACCCCAATCTTCCCAGTAGCTGCTTTAATCTCTTTCATGTTTCACAGTGATTTGTCAGTTAAGAGTGTTTCCGGTGCAACGTTGAATATTTGCAGAATGACCTGATTGGACTTTGTCATATGAATATTTGGGAGCTGGTCTCTGTCTGACATTTGGGTGAGAATTACTCTGCTGAGTACTTTGATGACGTGGTTTTTCGCTTCAGTGATTTCATCCTTGTAGTTTTCAAGGTATTCTGCCTTAATATAGTTAGAGACACCTTCAGTGACATCTCTGCAACTGTAACTGCAAATTATATCACAGGTAGATACTTCGATTCTATTTCCAAGGACATTATTATTTTGTATCTCATTTATTTTAGTTTTTACCCCATCCTCTGTCATATTATTTATTTTATTATACTGTCATCTCTTTACTGTTTGATTGATGGGTTATTGTATTTTGTTATATCTAGTTTTCTCGTATCTATTTCTCTATTTGAGAGTCTTTTATTACGTACGATATACCTGCGGACATTGGAAAACATGTTTGGGTTGAGACAGGGTCTTATTTCACTTCCTACCATAGTTCTGCATATTTGGGATGCTGATTCGTGGTGTTCATTCCTGGATTTTCGAGTAAGGTGAAGAATGATGTCAGGATTCTTTTATGTTGATCGCGAGACCATTTCGTTCTTTTTCTTTTTATTAGTTGATTTGGCATTCAGTTACTTGGTCCAAGGTTAGGAATAGTCCGAGTTTGGTGACCAAGTGTTTCTTCGGTTTCGGGGGAGATTTGTCCAGTCACAGATTTGTCGGGCCTAGACTGGTCCCTCTCTTAGGTACGACCGATCCGGTATGAAAATTTGTTCGTAATCATTGTGATTCGTAGAATTTTACGTTTTTCTTTGACTACCAATTTTGTCCAAGTTACCAGCTTTAAGACGACATTCGAACAAGACCCGAGAGCTCCTCCTGCCCATACGATGGTGCGGATGTGGATTATATTCATATATCCATGGTTAAAGAGTTCATTATTTAGTATTTATTCAGTGGGGTAGCATATGCGTAGAGACATAGAACTGACTATACTAAGTTTTAACTTAGTATAAGTTGTAGTGACCATTACCAAGTGAAATATCAGAAGCAGGCATATATATTGAAGGTTATTCCAAAATAAAGAGAGAAGAGAAAGGAAATAAAAAATTAAAATGAAAGAATTAAAGTTAAATAAACTGAAAGCGACGTAAAAGGGATTTAAAAAGAAGGAAAAATGTAATTTAAAATGATGTAAACTTTACGATTTCTTAATTGTTGAAAGTCGGGCACAGAATGTCGTTCGACAAATCTTCAACTTTCCGACTCCAATGAAAGTGA